TCAAGGCCATTTTTACATATTATTCGCCGGCCACATTCCACTTGCAACATTTTTAACGCAGTAGTACCGAAGCTAGGTACCTGTACTCCCCGGTTATAAGTACATCATACATGCGCTACATACCTCACTACATACATACGTACGGGTACACTACATACATAAACTACATCCATGCTATCGACCCCGATACCCGATACGGAGACTTGAGAAATCGGGTTTGCGCCAAATCTACCAACCACATGCGCGAGTAATCTGCATCGTCCCCCTCGAAGCAAGCACACTTCGCCATCATTCCAAGATCTACTACCCTCGCCTTGTTGCGCGCGTCATTCACCCTTCCTCTGCCCTTTTTTTCTAGGCCAACTATATCAAGACACGTCGCTCTGCAGGCACAGCTTTCTCCACGTCTCTTCTGCCGCCTGACGTGCAACATCGCATCGTCGCCCGAATGTATTCCACCCAGCCTAACGGTGCTGAGGGTGCGACCATCAATCCCGCAACTATCAACCCTGCTGCTCTCAATTCTGGTGAGTATGAGTATCCGCGCATTTAATCCAAGCCTCTCCTTTTTTGCCTGTCAGCCTTTTTATTTGATTTTTTCCTTTTTTTTCACCGCCGCGCGCCGTCTTTGCGCGCCGCTCTTTTACTAGAAGCTTGCTTGAGCTTTTGAGCTATCGAGCTTTTGAGCTTGCTTGAGCTTCTGAGCTTTTGAGCTTCGAGCTCGTCCCTGTAGCCCGCCTTCGTACCTAACATATCCTTCTCACCCAGCCACGAATGATCGTCATCGTCATCATTTATCTGTCACTTCACACTCCGCTCTAGCGAGCACGACGCGACTGTGATTTACTTTAAACAATCACCGTCGCGATGGCATATACCTACCTGCCGATTCGATACCGTTTTCTATTTAATTCGACGGTCGTCTTGTTGTTATCTAATTGCCGATTGCTAATCCAAAGCTTCTAATTGCGCAGAATTATTGAATTCGGGTTCACGGAGTCTCAAGAGAAGTCGTTCTCCGGACTCTTATAACGACGCGCCGTTGTCTGAGAATCTCGGAGATGATGGTAAGCTGCCGTCTCGCTTTTGTGTACCCGATTGATTATGGTTGCCGCTGTGCGCATCGTGCGCTATGTTACATCATGTTGTCGTGCAACGGGCTGCCGCAAGGAGCTACCTGCTAACACCGTTCGCCTTATCGCAGGTGATTCGAGGCCTAGAAAACGCGGCCGACCGATGAAATCGCGAATTTCTGGTGACCTTCCGGAACAACCGAATCAGACCCAAATCCCCCCTCCTCCGCCTCCCGCTCAAATGTCGCAGTCTATACCACCGCACACTCCTCAAACGCAAAATGCCCCGTTACCCGGACAGCCCGGGGCTTATACTCCGGCCCAAGCATCCCCTCCGCCGAAGACTACTCCCACTAAGACAACCTTGAAGGCACTACCGACCGTGCGCGATCATACAACGGACCAGCTCGGACCCGGTGGCGATGAATACCTGCCGCGCGAAATTGATGATGCCGGCGAGAAGAAGGTTATGCCCAACGGCCAGCTACTAGGAGGGCGAGAGTATAGATGCCGAACATTCCTTGTCCCTAACCGCGGTGATAAGTTATTCATGCTCGCTACGGAATGCGCAAGAGTTCTGGGGTACAGAGATTCGTATTTGCTCTTCAATAAGAACCGGTCCCTCTTTAAGATCATTGCGAATCAAGTCGAAAAGGATGATCTTGTCACGCAGGAGATACTTCCATTCTCGTACAGGTCAAGGCAGATAGCAATTGTCACAGCGCGATCTATGTTTCGTCAATTCGGGAGTAGAGTCATAGTTAACGGGCGGAGAGTACGAGATGATTACTGGGAGCAGAAGGCGAGGAAGCAGGGCTTTACGGAGGCTGATCTTGCAGGAGAGAAGAGACCAGGCGCATCTAAAGCTAGAGAGGCAGCAGCTGAGGCGAATAGCAGTATGGCGTCCCTTCCAGGAGCCCCTCACGGTGAGATTGTATATGCGAATACTCCCCCATTCGGCGGTGCTCCGCAACCCCTTGTTCAACCAGGTATGATGGGACCGCCAGGAAGCTCGACCAGAATGCCCATGATAACAGTAGGACCAGATCTGAACGATACAAGGACTCGAGATTACACCAATTTCATGAAAGGTGGCCCTCGACAGGAGATTACCGGCCCGGCCTACCAGGATAGGACGCAGTCCAGCCCCATATCCGAAATAAACCAACAGGCACACCATGCTGCTGAGTACAATCGAAGCGTCAACCAACAGCGCGAGATGCGGACCGACTACATGAACAACTTATGGCGGAGGCCTCATGAGCAGCCATCGACTACTCAACCCGTGACGACCGAGTCTTCCCTACCCACGACGCGTCCCGGTCAGTCGCCTCATACCGCACCGGCGAGTATGCAGACGTCTGGCATCGTATCGAACCAGAGCCCGCAGATGATGATGACCGCGCCTCCTTACTCGCAGTCTATCCACTCTCAGCAGCCGATCAGCCAACCGCCGATGCGGGGGATCCCCCAGCCATCTTCCCAGAAGCAGTCGAGACCCTCTAATATCCAGCCTGGTGCTTCCGGCAACATGTCTCAAGGGGCCCCGGCATACAACTACGGCTCTTCGAACCAGATGTGGGGACCTCCCCAAACACCCCAAACGCCTCAGCATTATCAGGGGTATACAACTCAGTCGCAACAGTCACCTCACCCTCAACAGTCGCCAGCTCCGCAACTGCGTCACTCAGGAGGCAACCCTCAGATGCAGCCCAGTACTATGCAGTACCACGGGATGCCAGGGATAGGGCAGAGTTATCCCAACCCGGGCCAAGGCATGTATCCCCCCGAGCAGACACCTAGGCAGTTTATGCCCCAAAACCCTGGGCCTGGACCAGCCGTGACGTCAGCATGGAATACCCCGCAAACTTCAGCTGGCCAGACGTGGTGGGCAAGCCAACCTCAATGATGCCATTCAGGGTTTTCAGTTCATAAATCAGAGCCACTTCAGCCCTAGTTGTTGGCAACACTGTCACTTACATCTAGGCCACCTTTCGCGCTCTGTACGTTTATGCGAGGAGGCCTGAAACATAACCACCTCTTTTTTTTATTTTTAACTTTCACACCTTCGGGATGGGATGGTTCTTTGATTTGATGGGGCTATAAACCTGCTTGCACTATTTGGCCTAACTCGGCAATAGAGGAGTAGGAGTAGGAGAGTACTTGGTCGCATTTTTTGGGGCTTCTCCGTCTACAACGTGTGGGAGGTATCACCGCGTTCCGGCATGGATTCTGACTTAGAGGCGTTCAGCCATTATCCAGCAGATGGTAGCGTCGCGGCACTGCCCGGTCGGACAGCCGCAAAAACCAATTGTCTGAATCGGCGGTTCCTCTCGTACTAAGCTCATTTTTTGGGGCTTCACCGGATTTACGTTCCTTCGGGCAAGGGTGGAACTGGTAGGCTGTATTGCCCCTGCGCTTCACGCTGCATGATGAGACTACAGCCAGCCAATCGTTTTCAGCATTTTGCATGTACACTTGATACCACCGTGGATTTGGTCGTTTCTACGCTGTCCTTCATTCGTTTCGGTCAGATGCTTACTTGTTTTTGTTTTCGATGATACCCTTTAAACCAGATGCTCGCAAACTGCTTTGGCTATCAAATTGCGGATTACATACCATATCACGTTGCTCTCAAGGTGAGATTCGGAGGTGGCATACGCTCGCATACCTTACGGTACCGAGCGTAAATGTATGTTAATTTCTCGCCGGCTTTGTGGCAGAATACCATTCTTATACCGGCCCCCCCGCTGGTTGACTGCTACGAATCCCGGGAAGCTGACTACCAGTATACTCTCGAGTTCCCTTGAAGCAGCTTGGCCATGAATCAGGATTGGCAGTGCCGGGAGCGGCTCGGCTTGGCTGCCAGTACCGTTCCTGGTGCCAGTCACTTATGGTCATCGCATTGCATAAATGGCGAAGAGGTACATCTTTTTACGGTCATGGGCTAAGGAGGTTTTATTTCTACGTTCTCCTTTATTCTTTATTACTTGGCCCTTCGGTACAATTCTATCTTACGTTTTATGGAGGAAATTGGAAGCAACGAACGTATCAATCAGTTAGCATTGTAGGGTACCTACACAACGGGATCGAACGGATTATTCGATCAGGGGCGGTTAGACTCTTGCTCATTGATTGAGTTCGGGTGTGGCAGTCTGTCTATTCCCTCATGGATGTTTTTTGTGGGCTTTCGGAGGGTCGAATTTGCATCATAAGGGATACCGGGATTTCTTGTATCGAGCTTAGGTGGCCATTCGAAAGGGAGAGAGCCTACTGCCGATAGCGTTCAGATTATAGTCTAGGCGGAGTTGCGCGCGGAAGGCAAAGCATCAGAGCGCAATAGGGGTAATACAAATCAATATTCGATGGAATCCGGAATCGTCATTTGACATGAGATACTTGTGACTGTTTTCTGAATATACGAGTATGTGCTACAGGCGATCGTATTTGAGTAGCAGCAACAGTTCCTAGTACATTAGATCCGTACTTATTACTTCGTATAGACGAGTAACGGAAGGCCCTTGTCCTATCTATCATGAGGATGATAACCACAATAATATCCCTTGCGTAAAAGTGCGACGATCACCGGCCAAGTGCCGTATCGAGCTCCATAACGAGGAAAGAATCCCTTTGGTCACGATAGATTAGGTATACAATTACACTACGTGTTGAATCTCATGACGATGGCCAGCCAAAACTAGAATCATACGTAGGAAGGGAGCCGCATGGTGCTTCTCGATCCCTTCCGCGGCACACATAATTATTAATCGGCCGATGGATAGATGGAATAGATGGTTCCAGACCGGGCCCCTATATCCATGCCGTAGTCGCACATATACGTTACCTGTGCATACATATATGTGCGTGGTATATATGTATGTATGTATATGTATGTACGTCGCCCTAATAAAGCGTAATCCACGTCGACGCATGCCATGCTGCTGCATATATGTATTTATGTAGGTATGTATGTAATACTTACATGGTGCCTACATACATTACCCATGCCATGACATACCATACCATGCCATACCACGCCGTGCCATAGGTACCCTACCGCAACGTTCCAGACGTTCGGATCCAACGGGACGGGAGCGAGCAAAGCAATAATACGGCGCGTGGTAAAAGGTAGGTAGGAGTCGGACAGCAGAATGGCAGCACGCAATTCCCACGAGAAGAGCATGTAGGTAGGTAGGTAGGCTGGTATGTAAGATGAGGGGAGGGGGGTGGGCAGCCAGCCATGCGATGGGTAGGTAGGTAGGTACATAACACATTATGCGCATTACATATATACTACACCATACCACACTACACCACACCCCGTTACCGCGCCGTCGAACCAACCGTACGGAGATCTGACTCAGCCCTACATTACCAATGAGAGGGTACCCCGTGCGGAGGAGTCCCATGCTTGTTGCGCCGGCCTGCGTACATATTAACATAGGTAGGTATCTTCCATATTTAACCTATCCTAACTTTGCCTCTTATTCAACCTGACATGTCTAATCTTACTTGCATTAGGTATAAATAATAATAATAACAACAATAATATACACATACATAGGATTCACTCCCACAACGCGCCCATCCAATCTGACGCGGGGAAAGACGAGAGGTTGTAGGTAGGGTTTGGATGTGCGGGAGATTTTCATTCTCCCTTTGGGGTTGATCCTGGCTTTTATGTGCACTTCGTTATGCATATCTATCTGACGGGTTATGTATTGTAGGTACTGACTTACATGACATTACATATGTATGCGATAGTTATCTGTATTGTACATACCATCCCCAGAGAGCGAACGAACGCGCTCTCGGTCCCCGGGTCCGCGATGGTGGATCGGTATCCCTGCCGTCTTTTGGTAAAGTTCTGTTTTATTTCCGGAACTGTAAGAGGTATGTATGTAAGAATTTACGTCTATACATACAGATTTGATTCATGGAATCTTTCGTATAACTAAAGATTTAGTTAGGTAGGTAGTTAACCAAAGGGCAATTCCGGAGTCTGTTCGTTCGTTCGGTAGACGGGCCAACTGCGGCGGTGACAGGTAGCGACTATGACGATCGTTTAGACCCCCGACACCACTACACTACGCGCCACCCCCCATGCCCTGCTCGCGATCGTTCAACCTAGCTCGATCTCCCCTCGGTATGTACACTACGCGCGTGGTGGAGTTTGTTTCTTCGGTTCAAGCACACGTGGGTCGATCGCGTTGTGGTTGGATACCAAGATACGACGCGGAAGCCCGAGCGTACGGTTTCACCGCCTCTTTTTTTTTTTTCTTCCCTTTCTTTTATTCTTCTAGCCCTTTCCTTCTTTCTTCTCTAGCCTATGTACATAGCAGGGAGATGGGAGATTTGGGGGCCGTCGAGGCGCAGGGTAAGGGTCTTCTGGGCCGAGATTTTGGTTCTGCTGGTTCGTCGGATATTACGGGAGTACACTTACGTATGTAGCTTGCTGGGTATGGTTTCTTATTACGATGGAGCTGGTCGAGCAAATCAGACCGACACGTGGGAGCCATGACCATTCAGGCGGACTCGAGAGCGAAGTCCTCCGGGTTTTGTATATTTTTGTATATTGGTTATTTCCGTACGAGCCATGTACATATCTCGTATCTATTAGCTTGTACGTAAAGGGACGGCCATTTACGGGTTTAAGATGCCGAATATGTACACTAGAAGAGCTAGAAGAGATATTATATCCCCATCGTTAAATCCTCTACATACCTAGCTGTCCGTGTCCCCGGCTCCTGATATCTCGGTTAATCCTGGTAAGCCTCCCTTTCCTTGCTGCCGGTACTCCATACGAACACCCCTTCTTTCGGTAAATGATACCTACCCTTAAAAGCGGCAATACAGCTGGTATCGCTGCAATACAATCGTCACATATAAGCCAACCCAGATGCAGATGATATCTGACACAAACGCATCCAGGACTGCCAGATTGGGTGTTAAGATAAGAGCCGTGGGTGTAGGTAATGCCAGAGCATACGTACAAACCCGGTTAAAAGAATCACATGAAAAGCATTGAAGGTAGTATCCAAGCGACTTATTTCGGAAATGAGGCAAACTACATCGTGAACAGGGTTTGGGCACTGTATATCAGCATCTTCATATAGCTATCGAATCTCAACAATACATACACTACTCCCACAGCCCCTCAAAGCCCAAGCCCGTGCATAGCTAGGGCACCGGCGCAACATGCCGTAATTTAACAGTTCTGCCGATGACAATGATGCTTTGAAGTTTTCTATCTTCCTATGGTCCGTTGAGAGACATTTGATAGACTCGAATATAATACCAGTTAAGCCCTCGGTTTTCATTAGAAGCACTGTACCTAGTCATTAATCGTTTGCATAAATTGGTTGTTAAATTTATCGCCTAAGGTGCCTACGTAGCAACGTGCTAACTTAAGACCAATGCGAGTAATAGTTGAATAGACTTATTGATAATGGAAGACAAAAGCTACTTAACTTTAGTCTTTTCAATAGCCGTTAGTCAGAAGTACTGCGCTATGCTACGAAACAGTCTAAGTAACTCGCAGGGTTTGGGTGAGGTCTTAGTCGGGTATAAAGTGTATATTAAGGCTTCTCAACACTATACTCGATATCTCACTTACTGAAAAGAGGTTGCCTTAACACCAACTAACCACCCAACCTAAAGCGCAAACTAATGTTATCATAAAGTATCGTCAGGGTATTGCTTACTTGAGGTTTTAAATGCGTTCCCTTCCTTAGATCTCAAAGCGTTCCTTTAGAAATGAACCTAACAAACATAGACTCGAAAGCCCCATAAGAGAAAGTCATAGGTATAACATTGGGAATGAATATAGTCATTTATACCTAGGTACCTAAGTACCTAAACTCTTCTTTCCTGTACTAATTGTTACTACTAAATCTTTAAGTTACTAAAATGCCTAAGACAAAGAGCTCCTGGTTATAGTTATTGAATAAGTTTAAGGTTCTCTAACCCTAACCTAATTATGTTCTCGTTTCTCGTTCGTATCGTTACGTAATTACATTATTGTCCCTCTAGGAGCAGGGCCTAGGACCATACCGATGATAACGATCATAATAGTTTTCATATACTACGTGTAGGATGAGGCGGTGCTTTAGAACTTTACCCCTTTCCCAACTAGTTTACGACGATTTAAATATTAAAGACATCCAATAGAACTTGACTTGCCTTTGAAAACTGATAGCTTTAATTCGTAATGCGTTCTAGTAGGATGTTTCCGCGGTTCTTTAAAATATTTACATTGTTAATTATCAATGGCTGTAGCCGTAGGATCGATAGTCGCAGCAAAATAACCATACCAGGTAGGTAAAGTATGCCTTACCATGTACCGAATATGACATGTCAACATAATACCTAATATTGCTCAATATTAATGCTAACTATTATGTGGCTGAGGATATTTGTTATTGAGTTTACCTATCTATTCATACTTCTGCGTCTTTTCCATGTGTCTCTACTCTACTAATGCCACTACATTGCCTATGAACTTTCCCTATTCTCGAGTATACCTATTTACAGATGTGTGTTATTAGGCCTTTCCTCTGGCGTTCAACATGTCAGGAAATAGCCGTCATTATTCCAGCCTAGATCACTCACGCCGTGAGATTCGGCTGTTACACTTACACCCGGGTAAGCTTTCGAGTCTCATCTCTTGTCATCTATCCCAATGCTCTTTAGACGACAAGCCAACATACGAGGCACTGTCCTACGTGTGGGGGACGAGTATTAATCCTCAGCGTATCGTGCTCACTAGAGATAACCTCTTTCCCCTCGAAGGCAGTGACTTTGCAGTAGCTCCCAATCTCTACGCTGCGCTCCAATTTATTCGGAAACCCGACGCGGAGCGCATCGTTTGGATTGATGCCATCTGTATTAACCAGGAGGATATTCCAGAGCGGGAATATCAAGTCGCACTGATGGGCCAGATCTATTCCGGCGCTAAGCAGGTCCTCTGCTGGCTGGGAACACCGAATGATAACGGAATCGTGAATCCGCAGGGGAGCATCATCAGTGCCGATGAGATGGATGACATGACTTCTCTTAAAAGCCGCTTTGGTGGGCCTAATAGCCCCGAAGTACAGAACACCAAAGTCGCTATTCGGTTCCTGCGTACACTTGCAAATTTAGGAGAAGAGAATCATCTGAAGGACTCACCACTTTTCGAAAGAGTAATTAATACCCGGCGTCCTCCGAACGAAGCCGAGTTCACAGTAGCATCTTCCTATATTGAAGGGTTCAAAGTCTTAGTACGCTGGATAAATAGTGCCTGGTGGGACAGGGCATGGACCGTCCAGGAGGCCCGGCTTGCCCAAGACCTCCGGATCGTAATATACCATGTCATGATACCGTTCAAGACATTACTCTTGGCTCAGCATTTTCTAGGCTTGCACATGGAAAACTGCTGCGGAAACGAGATGGATAGGCTCCTAAAGGACCAACGCAATGTCCTCAAAAAATTCCTTGCAAAGACGGTAGAGATTATACCACAGCTCATTGCTCAAGACTCCCCGCGGGATCTAGGTTACCTTCTCCGAAGGTACCGTGTACGCCAGGCGACCGACTCACTGGACAAAGTCTATTCACTCCTAGGGCTATCGGTATGGAACCATGCTGCCCCGTTGAAGCCTAACTACTCTATCAGTCCCGAACAGCTTTACGTGAACACGACTATGAAGTTGATAGAGGACAGCAATTCCTTAAACATCTTGCAAGGGGCGCAGAGCTCTTTGAAAAGACTGCGTCTCCCGTCGTGGGTCCACGATTGGACTATCCCGATGGACGGCGAGGATGGGTTCCGAGAGCTAGAGAGAGACCAGGGGCTATACAATGCAGGCGGGCAGTTATCCAAAGTCCGCCTTTGTTGCAATTCGGAGCTCATAGTCGACGGGCTAATGGTTGGTGTGGTCACGTCAGTAGGAGACATATGCGACATTGTCAAGGGCACGACTTTCGAGGATCTAATAGGATGGGAACGACTAATCTACAAGCATGGACTACACCCAGACGAACCGTACACGAATGGCCAATCTTACTCAGATGCTTTTAGAAGCACTCTGGGTGGAGACGTGGTATGCACAACCGAACGAATACTGCTTGGGCCGGGCATTCCAATGCGAAACTACTTTCGATCCGGATATAAAGGGCCCGAAAGGAGGCAGTTAGATGAGAGCGACGAGGATCTATGTAGGAACTGGTGGGAAATTGTAGTCCACGCTGATGAATCAGACACGGCGCCCCCAAGCTGGTACAACCACGCCGCATCCGTCATTATACCAACAGTCGGGAACAATCGCTTTTATATTACCAACCAAGGGCTCATGGGCATAGGTCCGCCAGGGATGGTTACCGGCGATACGGTGTTTGTGTTGCGAGGTAGCGCGCTGCCGTATATTTTACGACAAGTAGGTAGTAGCCACGAGCCAAAGCCGAAGGATTGCCATGCCCCCGCAGAGCATCGACTCAAGCTCGTCGGTTCTAGCTACGTCCATGGGATAATGGATGGGGAGGTCCTTAAGGATGATACGAAAACTCGAGTTGAAATTCATTTATGTTGAGTTTTAGGGGTAGGGTGGATTAGGGGAGAATACCCACGCGAAAGGTGGTATTTATCTATATAAAAGGTAGATATTTATAAGGAAAATATTGTTATTTTTTGGAGATCCCAAGCGTTTAATCAAGTACTACTTACAACTGCCACCAAGGCCAAGTAATGTATAAAAGGGAAAGGAGACATTTTCTCGCCGTCACATTAACACCTGCTAATACCACCATTGCCCGCCTAACCCGGGGCGAGGTATCGAAAGTATAAAAGAGGCGTAGAGTCTACCTAGGTAATTAGTCTATATTATAACTATTAACAGGTAATTACCTACCATATCTAAAACATATATCAGCAAAAAATCATGCTTAGGTATAAATAATAAACTGACGCTCTACATGATATCACAAACACCTTACCAATCCCAACTGATATATCTACCTCTTATAAAAACATGCTAGTATTTCTAAACATTCCTAAGATGATAATATAAACACATTTTTACGATCTCGAACTTACTGCTAAGATTTTAAACAAGGTATTTACAATAAAAGAGACCTTTAATACCTAGGTACCTAGATAGGTAGTTAATGTATACTATGTCCCATAGTTAAGTTCAAAGCGCTTTGTGAAACAACAAAGTGATTTCTATGCTCCTTACTTCACCTCGTGGTACCTCCAAAGTTTAAAGAACATCTACTTCACTGCCCCAAACCTCCAAACACCACTATTATACGCGAGACTTGGTATATTCACTCCACTCCACTCCACTTCGCCTCATCATACTTATCTCATCTCATCTCATATCTACCAATCAACAAAGACCAGATCAAGACCATCAAAGCAACGTCTCGAAACGCAACCTATTTTCCCAGTCCCTAACTCCGGTCCTGAACATAAGTCAAATCAGGCTAAGTAAGTTGTGCGGCGCATTCGCACCCACACCCTCCTCAACTCAACCCTATTCTCGATTCGGTATCACATATTCCTCTCCAGCCTCTTCCTTCGTCTAAGACATTAACTTCATCGTGAACGAAGAACTCTCTCACTGCTCCATCTTATCTCCATCCTTCTCCCCGTCATCGCCCCATAACCCCTCGAGCTTAAACTCCTTCGCCCACTCCGTAACAATCTCCTTCTGATCGGGCATAGCCGTCGGCGCGCTCGCCGACCCCGCTGTAGCCGAGATCTCCGTCGCGACCGGCAACACCGGCGCATCGACCCATCCCTGTATACGCCCATCACGCCAGTCCGTCACAACCGTCATAGCAGCCGCCGTCAGATTCGGCACTCCGCCGCGCCCAAGCCGTCCACGCTTCCGCGCGACCTGGACTAGGAAATCCGTCGTAGCATCCCCATCCGCAGATGTCATAAGTGGAGGGATGTCATACACATCCATAAGTTTCTGGAGAAGTTCCGGCGACGCCGCTAGTCTCCTAAGCAGCAGCGCGACAGCCGGTATCGGGTCGTCAATCTGCTTTGGCGGGATGGCGTTGAGCAGAACCAGGTGAGCGTGCGCCTCTACGGCGCTCTTCTTCGACGGAGCCTCGCCTGTCGGCGCAGACGCAGAAGGGAATACGATTCCAGGGGAATCGAGAAGCGTGAGCTTGCTATCGATCTTAACCGCGCGGATGCTTGTTGTTACACCCGCTTCGGCGCCCGCGGGGCAAGCAGCTGCGCTGCGACCGCCACCAAGTCGCGAGAGTAGCGCATTGATGACGGAAGACTTGCCGACGTTAGGGTAGCCGATAACACCGACTGAGACGGCGCGCTTGAGCTGCTTAGTAGCGGCGAAGGATTTTAGGGACTTGAAGAGCGTAGATGAGGTGCTTTGGACGGTGAGATCGCGGTGATTGAAGGTCTGCGCATTGGGTGCGGAGCCAGAAGCGCGTAGTGGAAGAGTAGGGAAATATCTCCGTAGGTACGTGAGCCAGTCCTTGAGGACATGCGGCGGAACTAAGTCGATTTTGTTGAGGATGAGTATTAACCTCTTTCCACCGCTCGCCGCGGCCATCACCATACGCTCGACTTCTCTTGACCTCGTTCCTTCGGGGTCTCTGGCGTCTAGAACGTAGAGAACGACATCTGCTTGGTCTACGACTTGCTTGAAGACTTTGTCGTGGGCTTTGCGCGACGAGGATTGGGCGCGCAGTTCAGCGCTTCCATCTTCTAAATCGTCATCCGATGACTCGTCTTCGTCCATATCGTCTCCGCTTTGGAGTTCGCGATCATACTTCTCAGCGGCAGCTCTGGCGCTCGCAATAAGTGCTGCCATGGGATTTGAGGAATCATCCACATTATCCTCGTCCATCGCATCATCATGATCTTCGGAAAATCCATCGAAGTCTCCATCCTCAGCACCGTCCATAGCATCCTCGTCCTTCTCGGCTTCGTTCGTAGAACCGGTCTTCGCAGCCTTCGCCAGCTCTTTCCGGCGTTGCTGTTCCTCTTGTTTCCTCCGTCGACCTTCTTCAATCTCGTGTAGGATCTTTTCCTTGTAGGGGAATAGGTTGGGAATACCCGGGTCCTTCTTCAGCTTGGACGTCCATTGGGGGTTCTTCTTTGCTTCTTTTCTGGCTTTGCGTTGCTTTGCGGCTGAGGCCTTCTCAATCTTATGCCGTAGACGGACGGGAGTCCGCTTGGACTTGGCCTCTGCACAATGAATAATGAGTTAGCTGATGCGCTATTCATAAAGAAATTTCAATCGAAATTTAATTAAACCTACTCTTCGGTTTTGTAATGTGATTGGCCATTTTCAACTTGCTGTGCCTGGCAATTGTATATGAATTGTACTTGAATTGTACTTGGAGGGTTATCGGGCATAAAAAGTTTAGAAATTTGGTGTAGAAAAAATGCGATAAGCTTCTGCCGCCAGTCACCGCCCAGGATAGAACCCCCACTAGGCCTGCCGATTGGCTGACCCCGCTCACCGATAAGAACACCTCCGTTGAAGGTCCCATCTTTTTAGCGGTGTTTAAGCTTCGCGATAGCTTCAATTTTGCGTGACTAACATGCTATCTAATGTAATGCCACTATGAGAGCGGAGTTTCCTAACTCGGCCATTCCGACCTGATTCTAACATATAAATCGCTTCGCGACGGAAATCCGATTTCATATCTTTTACACAGAAACCCATACTCCAGTGTCTGACGACAGCAGCCTATTATATTACTAGCACCTTAACTCCGATTCATTTATTTCATTCTCGCTTTAGAATAGACACTTAATATAGCACACAAGAGAGCGCAAATATCATACACTCCATAATGGACTACACAACGCCTCCGTTCGAGGTCTCTTTCAAGGGACTACTCTTCGACATGGACGGCACAATCATCGATTCGACAGCCGCAGTCGTCAAGCACTGGGAAACGTAAGTCCTCCCCCCTCCCCCGCAGGAAATGGGGATTTGGGAATCGGCCCTAAGTCAAGGGTAGCGTCGGAAATGAAATCGGTGTAGACCCGGAGGTTATCTTGCAGACCTCTCACGGCCGTCGGAGTATAGACATGCTCAAGGTGCTTAGTCCGGAAAAGGCCAACTGGGAATGTGAGTTCACGCTATACATTAACATAATACATATCCAAGTCCCAATGGAGTTGTGGTGGTTGAAACGCCTCTCCCTTTCGCTCTGTTCCCCTGATCTCCTTGCAACTTACCCCTTGCGGCCTTACTTCTCACCCCCCCTTAAATATGTTTTACTCCGCGACAGTACCTACACCTACCCCCCTGAGTTCACCGACTAATCTATATGGTTAGATGTGAGACATATGGAGGGCTTACTCCCGAAACTGCACGGCGCAGACGCCGTCGAGATTCCAGGCGCGAGAGCCCTCCTCGACGCTTTGATCGCAGTGTCTGCGCGCTGGGCTATCGTGACCTCGGGCACCATGCCGTTGGTAACAGGCTGGCTCGACGTGTTGAAGCTGCCACATCCAACGAACTTAGTCACAGCTGAATCTGTCGCTAACGGAAAGCCCGACCCGGCATGCTATAATCTGGGGCGAGAGAAGCTCGGGCTCAGTTCTGATGACAGTCCTGATATCCTCGTCTTGGAAGATAGTCCTGCTGGTATTAGATCCGGCAAGGCCGCAGGATGTAAGGTGCTGGGCTTGGTTACGAGCCACACGGCCGAACAGGTACTTGCTGCCGAGCCCGATTGGATAGTCCGAGATCTGCAGTCCGTCAAAATGGTCCGAAGCGAGAAAGACGGCTCCGTGACGCTACAGATTTCAGATGCTTTGGCTCTTCCTCCCGCATCTGTTTCAAATGGGAACTGAGGGATGAAGAACCGATAATTCAAAGACATTACAACGCCGCAATTTCCAGAGTCTTAGCAGTTGGTAGCAGTAACCTAGGTAACCGGACACACCGTCAAAGTCGCAGTCAAAGTCACAGCGTGCCAAGACATTTCAATTACATTGATGGAACACCATTTCCATACAATGTAGTTACGAGCTTGGCATTTTCTATTCACATATACCTCTCTTGTTCGGCATATAGACTGGGATATCGGGCTTCATAAAGCGGGCCGGGTAACTTCCGGAGAGAGCCTCCACGGGAACAAAAAATAGGGGTCGACAGCGATAAATTATAGAGATCCTATTTGGCCGAAATTATAATAGACTTAACGGGTCTGGTTATATAAACCATCTTGATCTGGCTTCTTGACTGGTTGGCGACCAATTTTCGTGTCTCTGTGGCTAATTTGCTAGGGGTTACGTCACTTGAAAGAGAAGGAGAAAAAAAGAAATGAAATGAAAAGAGAAAATGTAAGAGCTAGTAACTGCAAGGCTAGCAGATAAAAAGATACAAAACAACATTTAAAGTGATATGAAAAGAAAAACGCTCTTACTACATACACGAGACACACATCTACCCCCGGTCTTGGCGCGGTAAATGCATTAATGATGATCACCAGAACTATCGGAACTTTGCAGGTCTCTTTATCCACTCCCCGCTCAAGATGTCCACTGTACCTGGTTTGTACTTATTAGGGCCTGTCGAGGTGGAAAAATGAGGCTGCCCTGCACAACACTTATGTCTACGATACGAACGATGCGAAACGATCGTAGCGGAGAAAAGAATACGCACTTCTAGGTTGGGATTGTGGTGTTGCTGGGCGTATTTCCGATTCTGAACCGTGTCTCTCCACGGAAAAAAAAGAGTCAATGACGAGCATATACCCGTCACGACTCGGAAACGATGCGAGACATACCCTGTAGAACCAGTGTGACCGATCTCCGTCTACATCTATGTAGCGCACCTCATTAAACTGCTCTGCCGGTTGTGCTGCTGTTAGACATCGATCTTGCACAGGGGTCACGATCACGGGACGAGTTTGTGGGGAGGAAGATTGCGATGACGGAACCGTTGCGAGATGTACTCTTCTTCGCCCTCACACATACAGAACATACGCACACCTGGGTCTGCCGCTAAGGAAGCACTTGCAGAAAAGCAGTCTCGAAGGCGCCATTGCACGATACCCTTCTCGGTATATTGGCTTCCAAATGCCGACTCGGGCCGTCCAAGTACTGTCGATCACTCTGATAAAAGACATACCCAGGTCACAGAGTGCTCAACGCGGTCATGCTGGGGGTGATGGGGGACCGCCCGTGGCGTCCGCCGTTGGGCGAGACGGAGGCCCAGTAGTGAGGGTCCAGTGGAACTGGACTGCCACGTAACGGACTGGATATCTCTTAGCTACGCAAAGAATAACAAAACCCGACAGGCGGAACCTCCCTTACGTCCGCCCCCCCGAGCTTTGTTACCCTCCCAAACCTTGTTATGACCCGAAACCATACGCGTACCTGCTTGATGGCTTCTCGCCTTAGAAAGGCATGGCTATAGAAGCCATGAGAGCTGAATATGGTAATAGTGGCTTACCATGGGTCTCGGTTACTTATGAATCGGGATGGGAATTATGCGGTTCTAAAGAAATATATTTTGTACGCCGCGGGATCACGAGCTTTGGTGTAAAGGGGCACCATCCCATGGCCATGGACTTGGGCTAAACTTTGCGCGCCGTTAAACAGTATGCCGGCCCGGTAATCTATGAGTAACGAGGTCTACGAGGTGGACGGCGGCATATCTGCCACCTACCTATAGTTCGCGATAGCCTTAATGGGAGGAGTGACTGCAAGGACCCGTTTCCATGACATACCGTATGCTACATACGAAGATTTTCGAAGAACATCGGGTTCTCGCAGCGTTGTTCGGATGAACGATCTCCAAGACATGCAGCATTTTCCCTTGGGGCTGTGTGAGCACAGCGTCGTCGGCTGCAGACTGCCAAGAGATGAAGTTGCCAAGAAAGGATCTTCGCAGTTGTCAAATTGCCTGGTCGCCGACCTGAGTAACCATGGCAGTTGGCGGAAGCCCGACGTAGTAGCTGGCGAATGCGCGACCTATGCATGATCTAGACCTCGGGGCAAAGATCGGCTCTCAAGTCAAGGCGGGCGGGGGCGGTGATGAGGTAGAAAGACGGTACGGATTAGATAGATAGCGTCGCTGGTAATTGGTCGCCTTCAGTGTCATCTCTACAGCACGAAAAAGTAGATAGCGGCCTAATTCCGACCGTATCCTGAACTGAGCGACCACCAAAGGGCAACAAAGGGAACTTCCGCTTCTCAGTTGTACACAACGAGAGCCAAGCTTTTGCGGAAGAGGAATGGTTGGCGCACGGTTTCTTTCAGGGGTAGTAAAGGGTATGTAGTTGCTCAAAATGATAAATCGTCATGATTAGAGATAGGGTAGGATACCCTTTCCACGACGTTGCAATTCAAAATGTAACTGCTTCTTAAATGGACAAGGATATTGTTTTTTTTTCCTCAGTAAAAGCTTAAGCTGTCAGTCGTGACACAAAGCCAATTACCCTACTGCAGGAACGGGGTGCTAATAAAAGCTGTTATGAAAATAATTTTAAAAGGTAGTAAATGGAGATGCAAGATTTTGCATTAGTGAGAAGGGGGCTGGTAAGAAAACGCTGACTAGGTGTAACAGTGTCTTTTCAAGTGGACCTGTTAAGAGGGGACTGACATAAATGATATCTCATCAAACTGGCGCCAGTCGTTGGCGTCTAAGTTATCGTGAGGCTTTGAGGCCGCTTTATTTCACGCCTATCCGCTAAGAAGTCGTAAGCGTTGCGCTTCTTGGAAAATGGGTAAAGCGTCGCTCGACACTTGGGGAGAATCGGTCGTCATGTTAAACGGCCAGAAACTGGCCCGTTTCGTTTCTTGAAACAGCTAAAGCAAGCTCACTAGTTCCCGTTGTCGGACTGATTGATGACCGATTCGTCATTCCGAGCGAGCACTTGTAAATCGAGCACATTACCTACCTATGTAAGAGGTAGGTAGGCATGTATTCCAGCTTTACTTACGTATGTGTACGCACACCGCCAGAGAACAACGGTTGCGCTGCGTAGATGCAGTCGCAATAAGAGATCGGCGCGTACCATAATTCAATGATGCTTGGAGTTGATCACAACAAGAGTCTACGGTTGCTGCGGCCTCGTGCTCGGACCCGTCAGGTAAGAAACCCCACGCTTTTCATGTAGGCGGCTAAAGCGGAGCTGAGCTATGATATTGACTGGTGGTGGCGGTTTGGTAATTTCTCGACACGCGCAACCTCAGCTCCAGATGTTATCACATTCTTCGGAACGGGACGGTGCTGCACTGTTAAGATAGGTTATATGCTGCCCTAGAGCCCCCACGTTGCTGTATCGACAGAGTTAGGAGAACGTTGTGTCCTGCTGCAGTCCCTGTGGAAGACGACATGTCAGCTGATCGTATCGTATCGTATCGCATCGCATCGCATCGCACAGCCTTTCATGATAATTCGGGATGATGAAAGGCCCTAATGAAGCGTCTGCAAGAGCCTTGGCTTACGGCCGTGATAGTGGGATAAGTAAAATGAGCCCAGAGATTTCCCAGCTTCTTGCCCTGGTCGGGTACTTGGAGG